ACTCAGGCATCATCAACATGGAAGGTGGCAAGCAAGAATAGGAAGAGTAGCCGGCAACAAAGATCTCTACCTTGGCACATTTAGTGAGTATATATATTTAAGAAAATATTATGTAAAAACTGATCTAGGGGACAACAGATCTTAGAAAAAGAATGGAGTAATAATTATGACATGTTGTACTACTTAAAAGGTACTCAAGAAGAAGCAGCAGAGGCCTACGACATTGCTGCAATCAAATTCAGGGGCTTAAACGCCGTGACCAATTTCGACATCAGCCGCTACAACGTAAAAAACATTGCCAACAGCAACCTTCCTATGGGAGGGATGAATAAATCCAAGAACTTCTCTGATTCAACTGGTGAGAGCAAGAGCGGAGGTAGCGGATCAGATGGGCGTGATCACTCAGTATCCTCTGTTACGTTTGCCTCCACGCTCAGCTTTGCAACACCCCTCAAGCAAGACACATCAGATTACTGGTCTAACGTACTAGGATTCAATGTCGCAAAAAACTCAAATGTTGCTCCTCCTCCGCCGTTGTTCCAATCCAGAACTGGTTTCAACATGGAGTTTTCTGGGAATTCCGGCGTCAACAATGATGGTAACAACAAAAATAACACATCCAATAGGGTTGGTCACATTCAGCAACCATTAGTTACACCAACTGCCTTTAATGGTAGCAGTTATGATGATTCTGCTGGGTATGGCAACTGGATTGTACAATCTATGCATTCTTATGAAGCTGCAAAGCCAAGCCTCTCAGCGTTTCAGACACCGATTTTTGGCATGGAATGAGCTCACATGGGAAAAACTGTGCGGTTTGGAAGAAACTGGAGAGATTTAGGCATATGGGCACAGTGTTTAAATTTTTTTTTTTTTTTTAAACTTGCGCGGATGAGGAGTACTCACGAACATTTTCCTGGAGCTGACAGTACTAACTGAAGTTCTTTCCTATCTTTATGGCAATGCATGGTTTCCTTTTTCTCTTTAATTCTTTTCTGTTTTTATATTCCTTGATCATCTGACATGATCATTTTTGTGGGTATATAAAGGAAAAGGAATTCTCTTTTGCTGCACCATATATTATCAATTGCTTCATGCTTAGAGTATGAGCTTTCCATTGCCTATTTTCCAAAAAGAAAAAAGAGTATGAGCTTTATTTTATTTTATTTTTGAACAAATTATAATTATTTACATAGTAATTGGGAGAATGAAGGAAGGGATTTTATGAGACTTAAATATACAACTCATAAGAGGTGGACGGTCATAACAAAAAGTCTAATATCACTGGACGGAGTGAGTTATTCAAGTATAAGCTTTATTAAAAGAAAGAAAAGTAAAAATTATGATATTTTGGTTTTTTAAATGTTATGATTATTTATAAAATTATTTAAATATTTTTAATAAATTTTTTATATATTGATTTGTTAAAAGTATTTAAATATTTTTATTAATATTTATGATATTTTAATTATCAATATATTTTGATTTTTTTTTGTAATTTTAATTAAAATTTGATTAAGAGGCTAAAATTTTAATTAGTTTTAAGTTTATGAGTATTTTTAATGGCGCTATATTAGCACTGATGCAACTGCAACACATTACTTTGGA